TAATAATTGAGATCTACCCTCAGTCGGTCACATGATCCACGTCCCTCACTGCCCTGAGGTGTACTGGAGCTGAGCGCTGGCGCTGCTGGTCTAGAAACCGAAGACCCGAGGGAGGACTTCAACAACTGATGAGTCGGGTTTGCAGTGGTATTCGTTTGTGCACGGTGTGTTCTTTCATACAGACGTGCAAAACAAATGTACAAGTGGCAAAACACTTTTACAAGTCAAATCAACTGAAAAGGGAAAGTACCAACTCTGGGATTGACCCGGCAGTGGTAACAGGAAGTGGCCAGTAAGAGTTTATGGAGTTCATGGTGACCCAAGATGGACAGCGACCGAGTGATGTTGAGTCGGTTAACGTGGTTTTCTTGTCCATGCCCCTTACAAATTCTGAAGCCCGACCGCACGAGAAAGAAAACCGCGTTACAGAACCATCACCTCCCGACAGCCTGCTGTTGGCATCAACGCCCTACCACACTTGAACTCGTTCTATGGCACTTGTCCAGATTGTTTTGTCCTGACTAGATCCTTGCTTGTGTTGTATCAGACACAGACTGCCCCCTAACACAGAGAGGAGGTGTGGACAAGGACATGTATGCTGTGATTCCACGCTGCATTCTTTATGAATATGAGTTGCTACGATTCAACCAGTTATAGTCTAAGGTGTGTTCCTGTATGGTGGTTCTAGTTCCATGTGCCCCCTTTGAGCACCTGCCCCTCCAACGGTTTCTGCTCTGGTTTTACATGGTCTAGGCATGTAGGCGTTAAGTTTTACTGTCGTGATTTCGAAAATGTCACACGATTACATCCCACTGATCCGCTCACATGGTCGGACTTTCTGCAGCGTTTCTCGTCTTTGGAATCAGATTCTGGTTCCAACACGTACGACTGAATCGAGGCTCGTCCCTGCATAGCGTAGAGTGGTGCAGGTATCTCATAAACTCAGAGGAAATAGTCCTAAACAGCCAGAAGCTTCAAACAGCAACTCTGTGTGAAGCTCACCTGTCTGAAGTACACAGATACACAAATCCTGTCTCCATGTCAGGGCTCATTTATCAGTGGATGATAAAGCTACCAGAGCAGTCGTGTTGTTTATGCTGAGGCCGGTCTGTGGATCCTGCTGCAGTCTCGTTGCAGGTTTCTGTTAATCTTAGAGGAAAAGCTGCTGAAAAGCTAAAAACAAAACTGCGTGGAAGCAACATGTTTTGGAGGAAGCTGCAGTTATTATCACAGCTCAACGCACAGCTGCTGAAAGTCACTGGTGACAATCACAGCATTCAGTCAGCAGGATGCTCGTTCACATGGTCCTGTGGAGGCTTTTTATCTCACATCTCCTGCAGACGTCAGTCAGAGAGCCCAGTTTCAGGGAGGATTCAAGAAATAAAGACCCACACCAATGAGCCAGAGTCCCCTTGTCCTGCTGGCAGTCGGATGGGAGACGAACTTACCAACAAGATGAGACGTAAGAATGTGGCTTCATACATTTTGTCTTGTGCCTCTTATGCATGAAATCTTAATAAAACCCTCAAAGACAACTTTCCACAGCACATTGCTTCTCTGGAATAAAGTTAAGACTGTTTGTTTGCGAAAGATGCTACGAGAGTCCTGATTGGCCTCTGAGTTTTTGTGCAGCAGCAGATTTGACTTTGAAACCATGTCCTTGGTCCATGCTTTTGTTTTTCCTTGTTTGCGTGTATAAACTTGGTCAGTAAAGTTGATTCAGATGCTTGTTGTCGTGGAACCGTCACTGCTGACATGTTCTACCAATGGCACACACTGCGGTTTGCTTGGACTGCAGCCCACAAACGCCATCCTGCTGCCCCAAATACCCACCAGAGCGCCAAATGTGGACGATTCCGCCGCTGGAAGTAGTCCCAGACAAAGGCGCCGTGTTCCTCCTGTTTCTGTGGTGTCTGTTTAAAAACTGGCTGCTTTAAGGAAACTAATCTACCACACCGTCCGTGTATATTGAGGGTATAATGTGTGGTTTAGATGGTTTCAATGTTCAGTGGAAGCCTGCAGCTGTGCGTGTTCACATGTGTGCCTGAGACAAAGAGACACACGGAGTTATAGATAGAGAGAAAGATGGGAGTCTATGATTTATTGATGTCTGGTTAAGTGGCGGTGAGAGCTGCAGGAGAACTGCTGCATGAGACCATTTCAGCGGAGCGTCGGCTGCAGCAGAGTCCGGCCACAGCGCCCCCGAGCAAGGCAGCGACATTACTTCCCCTGATTTCATCCTGAACCAGCACCGAGTCTGTTGGTCCAGTTTAGATGAGGCAGATTTGAGGTTTTCTCTAAACCTCTAAAACCTTTATTTCTTGCATGTTTTTATCAGAAAGTTTTGCCTCGGTAGTGTCACTATCAGCTTCTCCATCAGCAGCAAAGTGCACCGAAGTCAAAGAGTAACGAGAATATTGCCGCCAAAGCCTACCTTAGAACCTCCTCTGAGAACTTCTGAAGATAAAAAAAAAAAAAAAAAAAAAAAAAAAAAAAA